GAAGAAACAAAGCAACCTCGGCGTCCGATCGCGACCTTCCCGCTCCTTGAGTTCTCTCCAGCACTGGAAAGCTGATCCGAAATTTACACAGGTCCTACTTTTTGTCTTATTGCCTTAAGCCTTCTTTTGTTCGGCAGACGTTTTCCTCTTTTGTTTTTTATCAGCCATCTCTATCTTTCTGTCGCTCGACTCGCACTGAGCACTGAACGCTCTCTCCTCCACATCATGAGTAGACACGCCCCTTTCTGCTGATTGGCTACAAGTTTGTTTTGCTAGTCGGCCCGAATCAGTTTTCTAAAGCGTTTTTGAAAAATCACTTACCCCACCTTTAATTGGCATGATTCAGAATGCACTTACAGATCTGTGTTTGATTTCTGCCTCATGCAGCACCAAACCTAGCGATGAACTTTTCATTAATGATCCAGAGAATGAGGTGGAGGACACCAACGTGGCTCTGGAAAAACTTCGGGATGTAATCGCACAGTGCATCTTACCGCAGGCTGGTATGTGTGGACATTCATTGTAGGTTTGTGGTGTTAATAACCCTCAGGTTATTCTTTCCAGAGGACTGAGACAGAAGGTGCATACATACACAAATACATACACAAGATATATACATATACACTGTGTTTTTGACACTGGTAAAAAATATTTACCACAGCAGTCCTTAAATATAGTCTTACGGATCTGATTCATAAAAAATTCATAGCATTCATAAAAAATTAAGAAACACATTTTATCATCCCAGCTATAGCCATGTGGGTAATGATCCAAACTAGCAGTGCTATACAATAGCACATAAATGTATATATACAGCAGGTATAGAAAATAATCGCCCCCCTTTAAAATAATCACATGTTGTTGCTTTGCAGCCTGAAATGAAGATACACACAGTTTTTGTTTTATCGAGCTGCATTTACTCAGTGCAACGTGAAAGATAAAACACCAACATGTCAGAAAAAAAATAAAAAAATAACAGAATCACTGAGTTGGAAAAAGGGTTATTTTAACGGGGGCGATTCTTTTCTATACCCACTGTATATAACAGCGCAATGAAGTACTGTAGTACTTACAATATCTCTTTGTTGTTTTTACAGGTGACAATGAGGATGAGAAGCTAAATGAAGTAATGCATGAAGCGTGGCGATTCAATCGCGATTGCAAACTTCTCAGAGATGGATTGCAAGGGTTAAGTTGGGATGGTATGTGTTTGCCGTTTATTTGCTTTATTTACTATAGACTAAACTTGAACATCTGAATCTATGAATTTTAGGTGAGAAGTCATATCAACCGCTTTCAAAAAAAAGATAAAGATTGAAGTTCGTCGTTTGAATCAATTGGATTTTTAATCACTAATAACTTCAAAAGGTATCCTAATGTTATGTTGGTTATAGACAGTCATGAGCAACCTCAAAGACGTGTCAGAGTAGGTATTTTTTTGGTCATGTGCTTGACCTTTTGATGACAGAATGGACTTAAAATTAAGACTAGAATTGCATTTCCTGAGGAGATGGTAGTTGCGTAGCAGCAAAACAGATTCAGGTAAGAGTTCGTAGGGTTTGGTTCTGTGTAAAAGAAACGCTGCGTCAGTGCTTTAGTTCAAAATCTCCCGTACATTTATTTCTTTAATCTTTTAAGTGCATAAGATGCTGAATTGGTTACAAAGTGAACAAAGATGTCTAACCAATATTTGGCAATAAGGAAATTAAGTAGCTGAAAGATTCGGTCAAGTCAGATGAAATGATTTTCAAATTGAATGTGACATTGTAGACGTGTTGTTTCACACTAACACTGGAAAAAGACGAGCAGTAAGTATTAAAAACAGTAATGTGAGCCCTCCTTGACTAATTAATCGCATAATTTCGATATTAGTAAAATATCAACCTGTTTTTCTTTCTTCACAGGTAGATCTTTTTCTGACAAAGTAGATCGCTTAAAGCTGGCTGAAATCGTCAAACAGGCCATTGAAGAAAAGACCATTTTACAGGACTCCCAATAGCAAGTGCTGAAATTTTAATCCCTTTTGTACTGTTCGTTATAATTGTCATTAGGCATATGATTGCAAAACATGTTTTTTATTAATTGCAGACCTTTTTCCATGGTCATGCTGTAGTCTGTTGTAAATCTCTAGCTGAAACCAAGTTGTTGTTGGTATGATCTGTTTTCACTACAGACTGCAGTAAAGAAAAGTGTTTTAAAGAAATTGCAGCGTTTTCATTTCTGAAAATAACAAGAAATAGTGGGAAAATGTCTATATTAGATGACATTTGTGACACTGGACCACAAAACCAGTCATAAGGGTAAATTTTTCGGAATTGAGATTCATGCATTGCAGTAAAGAAAAGTGTTTTAAAGAAATTGCAGTGTTTTCATTTCTGAAAATAACAAAAAATAGTGGGAAAATGTCTATATTAGATGACATTTGTGACACTGGACCACAAAACCAGTCATAAGGGTCAATTTTTCGGAATTGAGATTCATGCATCATCTGCTGAATAGCTGAATAAATAAGCTTTCCATTGATGTATGGTTTGTTAGGATAGGACAATATTTGGCTGATATACAACTATTTGAAAATCTGGAATCTGAGGGTGCAAAAAAATCTAAATATTGAGAAAATCACCTTTAAAGTTGTCCAAATTAAGTTCTTAGCAATGCATATTACTAATCAAAAAGTACGTTTTGATATATTTACGGTAGGAAATTTACAAAATATCTTCATGGAACATGATCTTTACTTAATATCCTAATGATTTTTGGCATAAAAGTAAAATCAATAATTTTGACCCATATGATATATTGTTGGCTATTGCTACAAATATACCCCTCTAAATTATATTTATGCGGGTATATTACAAACCCGAATCTGGGCTGAATCGATAACTGTTCCCAGGATGACGACTCGCTGACTGGGAGACAGAGAACTCTTGGCTAAATTGATTTTTAGCCCAAGCTGCTCCAGGTGGCTGAGCAGCAGCAACCTCTGGCTAAGACTAGCTAATCGTATAGGTAATTCATAATGCGGATTCCCATCCGTCTCAGAGGGAAAAGAGCCGCGTCCATGCACTTTGTAAAGTGCGTGGGGCCAGAGACAGTCCGAATGGTAGGACTGTATATTGATAAGCCACCCACTCGAACGCGAATCTCAAGAGCGGTCTGTGATGAGGGGCTATCTGGATGTGAAAGTAAGTGTACGCGGTTCAGATGCCTGGGCCCACCATTTTTCTTGGGAACAGGGAAGTAGCGGCTGTAAAAGCCTGACCAAATCCGCCATGCCTTGGTAAGTTCATTGTGAACTTCCGGTAAAAACGGCACCAGTCTCTACCGTTCAACCTATCGTTCGTCTAAGCGGCTGCAGGCAGGCTCTCCTGGAGCCGACCATTCTAAGCCGAGATTCTCCACAGCCTGGTGAGGATGCGAATCAGTTCGCTCTCCATTCTAGAAAATTTGCTCTTTGTGATCGCCAGATTGCCGCAGGGGAGAAGGCACTGAAGAGAAGTGTCTTCCACAGCGAGTAGCAGGCTTCGAGCTTCTTGCTTCAGAGTCCAGCAAGGAGATGATCTCCGTGCTGAAGGAGAAATATTCTGACGAAATGGCACCCTGAGATAAGGGAACGAGCATTGCATCACCTGCCGTGCTATAAGGCTGCACATGGGTCGATGACTGTCACTATCAGTCAAAAGATTCTGGAAAATGGCACTCAAAGTCGACTTATATAGCAGTCGGCTCCACCTGTTTTGGCGGGTTGAAGTGTCATTGGTTCATGCAGCTACACAAACGTGATCAAATCAGGCTTCAGTATTCAGGAGTATACCCCAATATGCGTTTAACGCAATGGGAGAGACCATTTGAAAGGGAACAAGAAATTAATATTGAGTGAGTTACATTTTAGACATTATATATATATATTGTGTTTTTTTTCCTGTTTAGCCAATGAAAATAGTTCCAAACAAAGCCGGAGCAGAACATTTGCGCGTCTCAGAGCAACACTGCGGTGTTTCATTCAATGAATCTGTTTTTGAACGAATCATTTGAGTCACTTGAGTGATTCTGTAGGGCATTTACAGTTAAACCCAAGGACCAGGTATGATAAATGAAGGCCAGGAGTCAGAGATGTAGTCAACTGAAGAAAAAATGACTGAAGAAAGTAGTTTGCAGTTTCATCAGCAGAAGTCAGCTTCAATACTCGCGAGGAGTTCGTAGGCCGCTCTGCATACATTCTCAGTACAGCAGCAATTATACTTATCAGGTACTGTTCCCAAAACACAAGACAATACGTACAGCTTCTCAGAGAGAGTTAGCTCAGAACATATTCAGCTTTATTCTTTAATATACAGACATAGAAAACAACCTAAATGTTCTAAATACACATTGGTCATATAGAAGAGAGGCCCTGCAGACCTCTATGACCTAGGCAGAGAACTGTAACCTGAGAGGAGTAAACAGAAGTTTAACATGTGGAAAGGCTTCTCACGAACAAGCACAAATACATTCCAATAACATGATTCATCTTAGTGACAACTAATATTATATGGTAAATCATAACTTTATTCAATCAACTAAAACATAGGTTAAATACTGATTAATAACTTGATTGATAATCTCTGAAGAATATAATATGTATGAAAGCCAACTTGGATCCAGAGTTCCACTCCTTCAGTTCAATGATCCATTCATAAAGACAGTCGATTGCTTCACTTCTAAATGAATCAGCCGTTTTGAACGAATTGTTTGAATGAATGATTCAGTGAATCACTCATTAAGACCGGAACATGCCACCACCTACTGGCAGTTTTAGTGTCATATTTATTTATCCATTGGCAGGACTAAACCAGCCAAAATACCAGCACAAAAACACACTCAGCAAAATATTGTTTAATTATCGTTGTCGAAAAAATCCCCAAAATACATAGATATAATTTTTCGTCAATATCGTACCCCCACATGTCGCCTATTACAGTATTTAAAGGCATGAAAGTCACTTACTCATTTTGAAGTTTTGAGGTATCTTTTATCAAATGACAAATGGTTTTATCATAGGACAACTAGGTTCATTACCAAAAAAAAAGTGATTGGTATGGGGTGTGTACACAAACCCAACCCAACCACTACACCTGCAAGATGGCAGAGAAACATCATCCTAATCGGCTTGATGAGACGCTGGGCCTGGTGAGACTGATAGAGGGAGAGAGGAGAAAAAGAGCCAGAAGAACTTCTAGAGAAGGGCCAATCTCGACTTTCTTCGCCCAGAGCTGCTAAATACGATCTGGTTCAGGCTGAGAAGGAGAACCAGAGTGAAACTGGATCATATTGGGGATTCACCAATATGATCCATCCAGGAACTTTTTCTCCTGCGTCCTATTCTTCATGCAATACAGAATGGCGGCACAGCTAAAAGGTTTGTTTGACCTGGCCCTCTACTGAACAGACGTGAATTTACTGTACATTTCCTTCAGCATGAGGCTCATTCATTTCATTGTTGGTGTGAAAGGGCTTTTACATTTGCCAAAAATGTAACTTTTTTTATATTAAAAACAAAACGAGCAAGCCCAGCCCAGATAAGGAAAAGTACAGCAAAAGTACTCAAACATGTCAAAATCATGTCATTAAAAAAGGTGATTTAAAAACGGCTGAAAGTTCTAACTGGGAATGATTCCTATAACAGATCGCCAGCTGCAACCAGTAATGTACACTCTTAAAAATAAAGGTGCTTCATAAGGTTCTTTACAGTGATGCCATAGAAGAACCATTTTTGGTTCCACAAAGAACCATTCAATCAAAGGTTCTTTAAAGAACCATCTTTTTCTTACCTTTTTATAATCTGAGGAACCTTTTGTCTCAAAGAACCTTTGTGAAACAGAAAGGTTCTTCAGATGTTAAAGGTTCTTTATGGAACCATTTAGACAAAAAGGTTCTTCTATGGCATCGTGAAGCACCTTTATTTTTAAGAGTGTATGGCATGGTTGTGATTGGGTTAGGAGCCTGTTTTGCTCATTTCAGACAGACTGACAAGTCTGTTAGTAGTGGGGCTTATTTTCTAAAAGCCCTTTTAGCAGTGTTTCACACCTAAATGTCATTTAGCTCCTCCCTTTGAGCCGTACTAAATGCTGTCAATGCATGTGTGACACTCCACTGCAGTGAAGAAGAGGCACGGACAGCTCGAAAACAATCACTTTCCCATAGGATTGAACAATGTTTTAGGAAGAATTTTTTCCTTCAAATAAGACTCGAGGTTTCTGAAAGAGGTAAGCTAACATTGCTTATTATCATTGATTACTGCAATACCACAAAGAGAGTGAAGTGTTTTAGAAATTGTAGACTTGCATATGTAATTAATACTTTGACTGGTACACTTCAGAAATGATGTTACACTTACTATAGGATTAGGGATTGGTTTAGGGTTAGTTGCTTGTAATCATGCATAATTTACTGTTGTTAGAATAAAATAAAATAGTGTTACCAAAATGTCTTCTTAATAAGACACTTAAATATTTACTTAAATATATCTAACATTATATATATCTTTCACTTTCTTTCCTTCTTAAAAAATCCATGACAAAAGATCAATTGCCTTGAAATATTAAGATATTAAGACTCGTTTTGATCAAATGTATGTTTGATGCAAATGTATTTTGTCGAGGCAGATTTTTTGTTACTCGTTTTAAGTATAAACTAATTAAAAACATGTTTAGATGTCATTAATAACAGGATTTCTACAGTGTAACGGGTAAATAACAGTGAATAATCTTTTTGATTACTCGTCATGATGATATGGGGGTGTAAAAAGACTGTAAAAGGTGCATTTGGTCTCACTGTGCACATACTTGTTCAGAACATTGATACGGCAAGAGTTATTTCAATGCTAGCCGTTCAGTGCATTTCAGTGCAATGCATGTTAACTATAAAAACCATGTGGCTAGTAGAGATGTGAGATATGTAATTGTGATATGTTTTACAAACTCTGCAAATAATGAAGATATTTAACATATTTATTAAGAAAGCTGAATATGTTTTTGTGTATTTCAGGTTATTCCTTGCCGGGTGACACATGCAAGTCTAATGGCAGAAAGCAACAGGACCACTGAGGTTGCAGAACTTATCTTGTGCAATAATGAAGCAAATATTTATGATTGCAATCAATCAGATCCCATGGGATCTCAAATGCCAATCCCACTGACAGACGCCTGGCTGGTGCCAGTGTTTTTCATCCTCATTATGTTTGTAGGTTTGGTGGGTAACTCACTGGTCATCTATGTAGTCGTCAAAAACCAGCAGATGAAAACTGTTACAAACGTCTACATAGGTATCAAAGATTCTTCGGTTCTCAGAATATCACATTTACTTACTTGACATTGTTTTAGTGAACAATCTTTGTTTCTCTTCAGTTAATCTTGCCACCACAGATATACTTTTCCTGGTTTGCTGTGTTCCTTTCACTGCCACATTATACACTCTTCCTAGCTGGATATTTGGGGACTTCATGTGTCGCCTGATCAATTACCTGCAACAGGTGAGAGCATTTTACACTGTATAAGGTTTCTAGAGGAGAGAGCAAAACAATTGTCATGTATGAAATGTCATTTAAGACCAATAAGATTCATTGCAAATAGAAAAAGAGAGATTAACCCCCACACACTTAATTTAGGGAGTTGATGGTGAGGGATTATTTAATGTTTAGAATTCAGTTAATGTGAGTTAAGAATGTTAATAATAATAATCATTTATGCATTTAGCAGACACTTGCGACTTACAGTGCATTCAGGCTATACATGTTTTACCAGTATTTATGTACCCTGGGAATTGAACCCACAACCTCTTGCACTGCTAACGCAATGCTCTACTGCTGAGCCACAGGAACATTTGGAAAGTTAATGTGAATGATGTGCTTTCTGTTTATAACTGTGACCAATTACTCTGAAACAGGGGAAACGTTTTGATATTGAGAGAATAAAAGTAATTATTTTACATTTCTTCCAAAATTGTGTAATTATCATTAATTTGGTATAAAAAAGAACCACCAAACGATCTGTATTGCTAGATGTCATTCATCCAGTGAAAGGAAATGTTAACGCTTCACCATAGCACAACATTTTGGACATTGCTATTCTTCCAACTTTGTGGGAACAGTTAGTATTCCAGCATGACTGAGCCCCAGTGAACTGAACAAGGTCCATAAAGACATGGTTGAATGAGTTTTGTGTGGAAGGACGCACAGAGTCCTGACTTCAACCCCATCTAACACCTTTGGGATGAACTGGAAGAGCGACTGTGAACCAGGCCTTCTCGTCCAACGTCAGTTCAACTTCACAAATGCTCTACTGCAGGGTTCCTCAAATCTTGTCCTGGAGGGCCAATGCGCTGCAGAGTTTAGCTCCAACCCTGATCAAACTCACCTACCTGTGATTTTGCTCAGGTGTGTTTGATTAGGGTTAGAGCTAAACTCTGCAGGAAAGTGGATCTCGTGGGCCAGATTTGAGGATCACTGCTCTACTGGATGAATGGACAAAAAATCCCACAGAAACACTCCAAAATGTTGTAGAAGCCGTTTATAGATGCAAAGGGGGGACCAACTCCATATTACTGTCTATGTCAGTAAAGTCCCTGTTGGTGTATTGGTCAGGTGTCCCAATACATTTGTCCATATAACGTCGTTCTTAAATTGGGATGAATGGCTACAAATGCGTCTAAACAGCTATATTATAGGCTACCTACACTCTGCTGGATGTGGTTATGTGGATATGGTTATGTAGTTTTGTCTTTTAAGCAGTGTCTTTGAATGAATTCCCAGGTAACTGCACAAGCAACCTGCATCACTTTGTCTGCAATGAGTGTTGATCGTTTTTACGTGACGGTCTACCCTCTCCAGTCCCTCCGTCATCGAACACCACAGATGGCTCTGTCTGTATGCACCACGATTTGGATATGTACGAAAATCATTCCAATCAGTTTAAGTAGAATCATAATTTCAACGCTTTTGACAGCTATTCATCTTATACACTTTTAAAAATAAAGGTTTTTCAATGCCATAGGAAAGCCATTTTTGGTTCCCCAACAGAACCGTTCTTAAAAGAATCACTTTTTCTTATAGTGTGAAGAACATTTGAATAATCTAAAGAACCTTTTTCCACCTTTTGTGGAATGGAAAGGTTCCATAGATGTTAAATGTTCTTCACTGAAGAAATATTCCAATAAGGAACCTTTATTTTTAAGACTGTATGCAACTTTGCATTTAGCTGCTAAAGTGACTGGCAGTAATGGCGGGAATAATATTATTGTAATATATTGGGTTGGCAATTATTTTTATACTGCATCCATTTGGGTTATTTTGGCTTGGATTGTTTTTATATTCATACTTTTTATTGGAAGTGAGAAAATAAATTACTTTGTTATCTTCTGACACAGGTTCTTTGCTGCTTTCAGTGCCGATAGCGTTGTATCAGCACACAGAGTCTTCGTTCTGGTTCGGTCCACAGACATACTGCACCGAGGCATTTCCCTCTCTCATTCATAAGAGGGCTTACATTCTTTACTCCTTCTTGGCTGTTTACCTGCTGCCTCTGATCACCATCTGCATGTGTTACACCTTCATGCTGAAACGCATGGCTCAAGCCACGGTGGAACCTGTGAATGGCTGTAACCAGGTAAAGGTGTTATTGCTTTATGGAGGTCAACTTTTCAATGTAAACACTTTATCAATTAAACATGCATTTTATGATATCATTACCAAATTAGGCTGTATTTAGAATTAAACTTTGTGTAAGCGCCGATTAAATTGTGGTACCTTTCTGAATCATTGCGGTAAAAAGAAATGTCAGACACTCTTAATGTTGTGAACTTTCAGAAAAGCGCAGGTGCCACCCAACAGCCAGCATAACTTTGATTTTCATTATTATTGGATGAAACGCCTCCTTTCATATTCACAGTTCAAATTATTATAAACATCTCCATTTCACTCTTAAAAGTAAAGGTTCCAAAAAGGGATTTTCACAACAACGCAACCTTTCAGTGATCAGTTCTTAACAGAATCACGTGAAGAACATTTTAATAATAAAAATTCATAGAAATTAAGGTCCCGAAAGGGTTTTTGTAGCAATGCAATTAATAGAGAAACAATTTTGGTTTCCCAAAGAACCTTTCAGAACCTTATAGTTCTTAACCCATTTTTATTAGTGGGAAGAATAGTTTAAGAATTTGAAGAATCCTATGCTGCAATTTACCCTTCGCTGAGAGTTTGATTGACAGGCGATCTGACCAATCATAACGCAGAATCTGCAATTTTGTAAGACAAACAATCCAGACAGCAGAGTAGATTAACGTTGGTTGACTTGAACTTGAAAAATGGTGTGTATTGACATCTTTCCGCAGTTGAAACAAGACACATGTTCATTCATGTTTATTTTGTACTAGTAAAGAGGAAGAGATAATCGGTTTACGCTGCTTGAACTGAGGCACTACAGCGATTTGTCACAATACATTAAAAAGCCACAAAACAGTATTTATTGTTTGAATTTCTTTAAAAAATGTAAAAATTGGAAAGCTGAGGCTTTGTTTCGTACCAAACCTGCTCTGTCTCTGCTCTGGCACATTGCCAGTGTCCTCTTTGCTCTGCGATGTATTTTTCACTGTGTGAGAACATGATGTGTGGCGTGAGAGATCACCATGGCTTGTCAGACGTAGCAACAGTAACTAAGGGGGGGGGCGGGTCTTTGCGAAGGGTGTATTGACATCTTTCCGCAGTTGAAACAAGAAGCCTTCTGATGTTCATTCATGTTTATTTCGTACTATAACTAGTAAAGAGAAAGAGATGCCGCTTGAACTGAAGCACTACAGCGATCTGTCACAACACATTAAAGAGCCACAAAACTGTATTTACCCTGCTGAAAAAAAGAGATAAAACCAGCCTAAGCTGTTGGCTGGTTTTAGTTGGTCGTCCAGCCTGGTCATAGCTGGTCAGCAGGCTGGTTTTAGAGGGGTTTTTACCACTTCTTTAGCTCCTAGACCAGCTAAAACCAGTTACTTCCAGCTTAAACCAGCTAAGACTAGCTACTCAAAACCAGTGATTCTAAACTGGTGGGTCGTGACCAAAGAAAGGGTTATTTCTGGCTTGGGTTCTAGTAGTGTTGTGCTGCTGGACAAAATGCAGTAATGCAAACTAAAAAACTAACATGCATAGTTGTGATCGCAAAAACAATAGACTTTTTCTATATCATTTTCTGACGTCAAAGGTTGTTTCCAGTGCAATCAAGCGTTATGATATTTTTGTGCAAATTTACATGTCATGCATAAGTGGCAAGATAAGAAGATATATATCGATAACCGTAAGGTTTTAATAATCATTCTATATCCACGAGAATAGGTCAACATTACAGCTACAATGATAATGACAGAAGAATGTTGTCGTTGGAATTTCAGAACAAATTTTTTCCAGCTGATAAACACTTTGACGGCCTTTCAGAATTCATTCGACTTTAAAGAGCTTGAGCATTTAAAGCGGTAAATGACACAACTGCAGCGCACTTATAATAAACAGAATGTTCTTGTGCCTCGACGTGGACGTTAATAGTTATCATTAAGGTTATCTTTATCATTCTTGGTGTGAATGGACCTTTAAGCTGGTAAACCACACGGTTATTAATGCTTTTACAAAATTATCAGTTTTCTTTTACAGCCATGTTAATAATTTAGCATATTGTTATGAACAATTAATAATTGCGCTAAACCCACAGTAACCACAGTAAACCCTATTTTGTCTAAAAGAAGAGTGCTCTTTGTTTTCTAGCTTCAGACGCCAGCAGAACGGGTTGAAGCAGTGCGGACCAGAGTATCCAGAATGGTGGTTGTAATGGTGCTGCTGTTTCTGCTCTGCTGGGGTCCAATCCAGATTCTCATTCTCTTACAAGCATTCTGTTCTGAAGATGTGAGTCACAGCTATACACTCTACAAACTGAAGATCTGGGCTCACTGCATGTCCTATTCCAATTCCTCCATAAACCCCGTCATCTACGCCTTCATGGGAGCCAACTTCAGAAAGGCCTTCAGAAGTGTGTTCCCTTTGATCTTCAAAAGGAGCGCAAGAACAACCCAGCCTCTCCCCACCTATAACAGAGAGATGAACTTTCTTTCATCCTGACCCTAAAGGGTTTTTGAACTGGTTATGCATAATTATACCTTTGAAAGGCAAAATCAATGATACTTTATGAAGATGCTCTCAGACCGAAACAATTCCCCTGGAACATTCAGTGATTCGTTTATTACATTTTTTCAAACAATCCTTTCAAATTATGAAGCACTGAATGTATGCCCTTGTGAAAAAGAAATACACTTCAGTATACTTTTATGGAAATAAAATACTTTAAAATGTTTTCAGACACTCAACTGTTTCTTGCAATTAATGAAACTTGATTATAGTTGAATTTTTTGTATTAAATGCAATTAGCTGAACATTAAAGTGTTTTTTGACCCACTTAAGTAGGACTTAACTACATCTTTATATGTAATTTCAACGTCTATGACTCAAGGTTAAAGTGTACTGCTGAATGTACTGATAAGCATTTACGGTCAACTATTTCAATGTCATTTCTATGAAACTTATGTCATGCATTTAAATATGTATGTAATTACACATTTCTATTGATTTAGTTGCAATTTAGTATATTTAAAAATAACTTTAGAAACACTATAGAACACTTTAAGAACACACTACAGTTAAAAATATAATCATGTACTTTACATATGCTTTAGTATGTTTACGAAAGTCAACACATCAAGATAAGTGTACTTTAAAGCACAACATAATGATTTAATGTACTTTAAAACTTTTAATTTGATTACAAAGTGCACTTTTTAAAAGCATGTTAAGAAAGTGTCTCAGTACACTTAAGTGGCCTTTTATGTCATTAATATTATATTATCTGCAAGTACAGTGTTTTAAAACTGAACTTTTGAGATTTCACTACAAGTGCACATTCAATACAATTAAGCACACTTCTTGTTTTACAGGGGTACTCTTTCAAATATACAGATCAACAAAAATCAAAGACAAAAATATGGAAGCTCTTTTGCTCTTGTGGAATGTGACAGAGTGTCTCCATGTAATTAGTTAATAATGCAATAGTAAAAGAGAATGCAGAACTACAAAATAGCTTATAGAATGAATTAAATAAAACTGCCATAATAATGTCTTGAATTTTAAAATCCATTTAATCATACCTGAAGTCCTCGTTGTGTTTCTCCTTCTCTGGAGATGCACTTCTGAAAACTTGATTTTTTTTTCCCCTTTCTTTTTTCTCCTGCTGAAAAAGTGTCTGTTTTGCATGTTTTTCAGTGAGTACAACATATGCATGTGTATGTCTTTACATTTCAGATGTCATTACAGGTAAAATAATAAGAAAACAATTAGATATTTACTAAATTACAACAGTGTCTTGCTCACCATTTATTTAATCAGTGAAATTAATTAGCATCATACTGATGTAAATGCATCAAATTTAGCTACAATTTTCTGCAGGATGAAAAAATAGACAACCAAAACATTTTTTTTGCAAACTATAAATAATCTTAAAGGTCCCATATTGTCAAAAGTGAAATTTCCTGGCTTTTTTCACGATAACTGAGGTCTAGAGGCTATTTAACTACCATATAAGTTTCAAAACAGTCAGTCCACAGTAAAATGCACACAGCCTGCATAAAGTAGCAGTGATTTTTCACGAACCGTTGTGACTTCCGTAAAAAGTTGACGTCAGAACTACACAGTCACCGCCTTCAGTCACCACCCCGAGCACCGCCCACAGTACCACTCTCCTTTTGCCAAACCCCCAGACAACATCACGTCCATGCCATTGCTGAGCAACAACAACACGGAAACATGTCGAAAAGGTTAGCTGTAAAAATATACTGAGATGGTTTTTGGTACTTATACCGGAAATATATATTCTTAAGGACATCAAAACCTAAAATAAAACTCCAGAAAGGTGTACAATATGTGACCTTTAAAGGAAAGAGAAAACAATCATCAAAAACTAATTAAACAAAAGCAAATCACACAAACCAATCCCAATGCATAAACACTGAATACCTTGTTGGCAATCTTGATTTGACAGCAACAAACGCCAACTGACTAAACGTTTTTCCTCAGTGGGATGTTGTACGAGCCCTGTTGATAGACAGATAGCACTCAATATATTTGGCAGTTTTGTTTCTGCTGATTATAACTCTCACAATCAAGGGTAGGTGGCGATGTGCAATCACAGTGTTGAAGCCGCATCGAGCAGAAGAAGAGCACTCATATTTTAGCACTTTTTGCAGTTATAGCCTACCAATAAAGCTTTTCACAAAACTGAAGATATATCTTTTATAATGCAGCGAGAGCTATCGATAAATACACTGACTTCTGTCGCAGTTTTCAGATGATGCACAGTTGTGAAGTGTTTATGGATGCTCTGATAAAGAGCGACTTATTCAATATCAAATACATTTTACAGTTACAACGCTCTGTGTGCAGGATAGACAGATCTGTTATGATGGCTTAAATGCACAAACATATTTTAAAAAACCCAACCCAAGACCAAGGCTTTCAAGGTACATCCACCAAAATCTGTATTTCTGTTTAGTATCAGTAACTGATTACATGTAATCTGGATTGAGTAATCGGATTCCAAATATTAAGTACTTGTAATTAGATTAAATTACATTTTAAAATACTCTGAATCAGGCTTCAGTTACTTTTTTATTGATTACGTGATTACATATTATTCACACAATAGCAATAAATAATTAATAATTTATCGATTCTCCATAATTCCTATTTTTCATCTTTTAAATGTCCCTTTCTAAAATATCCTGCCGATTATATACATTTCAGAAAGTCTTCCAGTTTTGTGGACATTCACAAAATCGAGAGGCTACACCGCATTTGACCACTGGATTTACAGAAATCATTTCAATTTTAAGAAGTGCTTTCTAAGGAACACATTATTATGATTCAGTATGTTATTTAACCATGTCTTTGTAAAGCTTTTGTTCTTCAAACACATTAAAATGCACAAATTCACGTCATTTCTTATTTACGTGTAATGCAGGGATTTGACAGACCTCTTTCACCTAATATATTTACTTGAAGTATCCCTGAGGTTTTAAAATAATAAGTTAATAATTAAGTAACACGTTTGCGGTTATCGCTGACCAATCACATGACGTGCAAACAAATAAAATATTATATCTTGTTTAGTAAGTGTTTTATTTTGATTGTTGTTCTATTCAGTTATTCATTTTACAGTTTTATGATTTCATTAATTATTAGCTTTTCATCAAACTCACAAACCCCTGCAGTTCCTTCACAAACCCTCAGTTTGAGAAACCTTGATGTAACATTTAATGCTCTTCATGTTGTTAATAACAACAAATGGAATATATTTTCTTTCTCTTTCTATTTTTATATCAATATAGTACATTATCCTAAAAATCGATGATAAACGAGTTAGGTCAAAAGTAGGCCTAATCAAAAAAATAATCAAAAGTAGTCTGATTATAATACCTAAAATGTGTAATGTAATGGATTATGTTACTAACTACAATTGTTGTCATGTAATTTGGAATCAGTAACAGACTACAATTTGCAAGTAATCTACACTGTAAAAAATAAGTGTAATTTTAACTGTAAAATTTTGTAAAAACGCTACGGAAAAAAACTGTTAATAGGTTAACAGTAAGTTCCCGTACTATATACGCACTGTCAGTGTGTATTTATCCGTCTGTCTCAGTATCTATCTGTCTGTCTGTCTGTAATCTCAACCACCGAGAACTACCTAGCAGCTGCCTAACAACCACCCAGATCACCTTAGCAACGCCCTAGCAACGATCTAGAATTCCTTGCCAATTGCCTAGCAACCACCCAGTAACACTCTATCTGTGTGTATCAATGTATTCAAGCTTCTGAAAGTATTTTAATGGTTCAAGCAAGCTAACATGTTTGTCTTGACAAATAATGCTTTTTTTTTTTTTTTTTAGTTGTGATGTTTGCAATATTAACATTTGCTCATCTTTCCTAGTATTCATACCATGCCAGGACTCGGCGGGTTCGCTCAGATAACGGACTGTTTGTACATCGGCAACAGCAAGCGACTCTTCGGTCCTACAGTCTCTCAACATTACATGTGTTATTAACACGACTCAGGACGCCAGCAGCACAAACATTCCCACTATTGATTAGATGCACGTGCCCGTCTCTGATGATCCTGAATCCAGACTCTGTGACTCACCCGTCGGACTCATTCCAGATTTGTATGAGAGAGAAACAAGGGGCTTGATTCCACTTTAGGAAATGACATTTTAACCTTGATATCTTTGTGTTTCCTGTCATTTCATTCGTATCTGAGTGAGCATTTCTGTATTATATTTGATGTCTTTGAATTGATACATTGTTTCTCTTGATAATAAAGTGCAATAAAACGCCACAAGATGGCAGAAGATTTCTTGTTAGGGCACATTTAGATTGAAATCATGGCCTCCAAAAATAGTTTTACAGTTAAACTACACTTAAAAATAAAGGAATAGTTGCTGAAAATTTATTAACCCTCATGCTATCCAAGATACAGATGAGTTTTTCACAGGAGGAAGCATGATATGGATTCAAGTTAAAACTTCTTGATAATGGATATATATATATATATATTTTTTTTTTACCAAACATGCAGCTTTTGTCTTCTCCAGATGTTAACTGATGGACTGGAGTGGTGTGGGTTACTTGTGGATGTTTTTATCAGCTGTTTGGACGCTCATTCTGACGGCACCCATTCACTCCATTGCTGAGCAAGTGATGCAATGCTACATTTCTCCAAATCTGATGAAGAAACAAACTCATCTACGTCTTGGATGACCTGAGGGTGAGGACATTTACAGCTAATTTTCATTTTTGGGTGAACTATTCAAAACTAGTGGCATTTATTTTAAGGATAAATTGCACACTTTTTAAGCAAAACAATTCACAAAAACATGGTTATCTTTTTAAATTTTAAAACAGAAATATTCTGTATTTGAAGATGAACAATATTGTGACACTATATGGTTGTCTAATATTAGTGTATCATGTTCATAATTAACGTGACTCCCTACACCTTTGGTTTTTCTTCTAGGACATCAGTGTGAAGTTGAGAACTAACTATACATCTACTAAATATCATCTTGGGACCAGATTATTAAAATCAATGCTAAAATGGCTTAAAATGTGAGGTTAGTTCTGAGACAGCTCTAGCATCTGTAGATGCCATCTGGTTCAATATTTGTGTTGGCCAATACAATGACATTCAGATATTTTAGTTCGGCTTAAGTGTTCAAATACTTTTGGACCAGAGTATTATCAAAG